TCTCTGGTAAAGAAAGGATGAGGGTGATAGAATTGTTTAGTCTGTAGAGGAGAAGATGCCAGAGAGACCTTATAACATCCTTCAAGTACCTAAAGGAGAACTACAGGAAAGATGGGAAAGGATTCTTCATCAGGGATGTTTTGTTAGGACAGGAGATAATGGTTTTAAAATAAAAGAGGGTGGATTTAGATGAGACTTTAAGAAGATATTCTTTACTACAACAATGGTGAGACACTGTTGGGATTCAAGAAAGAATATTCAGAGCAGAAGCTGCAGAGCAAGTTAAACAGCATAAGAAAGGAATGCTGAGAAGAAAGGACCCCTCCTGAAGAGAAATACAAAGATCAAGTAAGCTGCATGATAATGCATGATAATGACCCTGACTGGAGGAAGAGTGGTGGCTTGGAATGACTCATGACTCAGATTGGATAAGCGCTGCATGCAAGGTTAAGGAGTGTTTGTGGAATGTTCTGTTGACATGTAAAGGCAGGTGGGAAAGTTACAAGAGAAAAATTGTGAATGTAAACAAGGGATGTTTGAACCTGCAATAAACGGTTTGGGTTGTTCACATCTGATCTGTGCCTCAGACACTGCAAGACACTGGAACAGATTGTCCAGAAAAGCTGTGGATGCCCCATCTCTGGAATTTTTCAAGTCCAGGTTAGATGGAGCATCAAGTAACCTGATCTTGTGGGAGGCATCCCTGTCCACAGTTGAGGGGTTGGAACTAGGTTATATTTAAAGTCTCTTCCAACCTAAGTCATTCTGCATTTCTATGCTTTAAAGGTAATGATACATGGTATAGAAATGAAATATGCATAGTTTCTGTAGATGACCGAGTCAGTTTTGTCTGTACCATCCTCCCGAGTACTTTGGGCAAGACACCCCAGATGGGAAGATGGATAACACTGGGTAGATGTTCTCAAAAGAGCTGCAGGAACAACAGATACATCCCTGGTAGGGGATTTACAGTATCTGTGAAGTAGTATGAGCAGAAGATTGCATCTTGCGAAGTGTGGAACTGTGCTAGTTTTTCCTCAGTTGAGGATCAGCTGCAGACTGCTCAAGAATCACTTGTAAACAATCTATCTTCTATCAGCAGCAGAATTAACATAGCAGGAGCTATGTTCATGACTATGTTCATGACATCTCTTACAAGCTTCATGAAAATTCTCCTGTGAAAATAGGATATACCTTTAACAATGATGGCAAAATGTATTAAGGCCATCTCTTTCACATTTACCCGAGCTAAAAGAGCGAATAACTAAACATTTAGGAGGAAGATACATGGGGAAATTTGACACTGAAACATCTAAAAAAAAAATTATGATAAAGCAGAATTTGGTCACATATGTTTCAACATAAAATGTGACATCTACTTTATTTTTTAAAAATGTATATACTGTAGGAAACATATTCATTTCTTGAGACCTTGCCAGGAATATAAAGCATACATACATACAAAAGAACCAAAAGCATTTTATCTAGAAGAAAGCTATAAAAATATACTCAATTATCTGAAAATCACTAGTGTTCTTCTTTTAGCTGTTGGACAGCTTAGTGTAAGCCTGGAGACTTTGACACAAAATCTGTATTCTAATGCTAGGGCAAAACCAAAAGAAGCACTTGTAGAAACTGCTTTTTAATATGATATTGTGTTAACTGATTACATAAACCCTTCAAATCAAGAAATAGTTTAATCCTCCACACTATGATTAAACCATCTAGTGGAAATTATATTTATTTTGCTTACAAGTACATTTCTCCTTTCCCCTTCATTCTGTGTGTGTGTCTTTATATATGTTGTTACAGTAAGACATTTAATCAAACCCTTTTGAAGTGGTAGAGTGGAAACAGCTGTTTCTGACAATGTGTCGATGATATGGGGCTTAAAGCTGTCATGAACTCCAGATTGCAAGCAGCACTAATATGTGGTTGGGATGGTAGTGACTTGCAGGTCATGGCAACTCCTTGAGGAATGCTTCTAAGCCAATCAGCTCAAGGTGGTGGCTCAAAGTCTTAAAGCTTTAGTGAGCTCTCTTTCATTTAATGCTTTTGAGGTCACACTTCAAAGTGCTCTTTTTTCTAAAGAGCCACTGGCCATATGTGGGGGTTCTAGAGCAGATTTTTAAAGATTGCTTGCTTCAAGTTTGGACTTAAAAAATTAGAAATGCAGTTCCATTACACAAAGGATGTCTTACAAGTTCAATAAAACCCGAAGCTTACATCAATAACTCACTTTATTGTAAAGAATGATAGCTTAAAAAAAGTTTCTGGATGACTGATTTTTCCACAACAAAGTGAGCTTAAGGCTCACATTTCAGAGTGCCTAACAACTCATTAAAACAATTTTCTGATATATGAACATTACAAGACATAGGGCACCTAGAAACCATCTGTGAATACAGACTTTCCTCAACAATATTCCCACTCAAAATACTTACTGCAGAAATGTCTGTCTATCCAAGAAACCTGCACTTTCATTTCTTCATGCAATTGTATTTGTTAAAATTAGACTAACATCCATCTAAGCCAACACTGTTAGAATGAACACGTATGGGCTTTTTATTAAGAAGGCCCTAAAATGATTTTGTTTTGACAGCACTGTGGGTATACATTTTTCAGAAAATATTTTAAAAGGTCCAGGGACTAGGGAAAATAATCTCTGTAGGTTACCTATAGAGTTGAAGGAAGAAAAATAAGTCCTGTAAGAAATTATTCATAGCAAATAAGAGTAGACTTCTCTGAACTGCTTCCTAGATACCTCTCCTCTTTGGCTCTCCAGGGGAAAGTCAGCTCTGTAAAGTCTGCTTGGAAATAAATAAACAATCTTGAAAATGCTTGCCTTTTCACTGAAGTTCAAAAAAAAAAAAAAATTCCCATCTCCACAGAAGTATTGTATTCCATGGAAAGTATTGCTCTTCTAAAATTTGACTGGATGCTTTCAAAGAAGATAAATACTCATCTAATGTAAATACAGCCAATCATGAACATTTTTTGACAACAGTTGGATCTAAATCCAGAATAACTACAGTCAGATTTCTTTTTTTTTCTTTTTTAACCAAGCTTAATCTCAGCTGCTGCTGCTGCTGCTATACTGAAGTGCTATAATTCTTTTACACTCTGCAGAATGGAGTAACCAAAAGCAAAGATGTTCAAATGAATATATATATATAATAATAACTCATCTGTGCTGTTTTCAGTAGTTCCTTTACTATGCATAACCTTTTTTCAAATACATAACTCATTGTAATACAGCTTTTCAATATCTTTAAAACTTATCAGAATTAATTCAATGGTGATATTTACTATTTACTAATTTCAACTGCTGTGTGGTTTTTTATTTAGGTTGTTTTTAGCCTCCTTAGTCACAATTTCTACAAAAATGGATTGACTGAATGAGAAAACGATCCAGACACTGTTGCCACTGTACCCCAGTCTTGAGACACTGAAATAGTGGAAAGCTTGCTTAGGAGACAAATGCAACAATGGAGATTCTGATGTTTGGGAAAAAATTAAAAAACAAAACAAAAAACAAAACAAAAAGCCAACAATGAAATGGCCAACTCATTAGTTCTGAAAGTCATAACTCAGGAAATTATTTACAATAAAACATGGACCAGAATGAGGTCAGTATCACATGGTAGTCTCTGTACTTCGCCATACCGCAGCTTCATTTCCTGTATGTGTGCAGTTTAGTCCCCAGAGCTACTGTGGGTGTTTTGAAGTTGAAGCATCTGGGATGTGCTAGGACCTCACTGTGACAACTAACAGGACACAGCCCCAGAGTTAGAATGCTGACACTAAATTTGTTTCATGAAGGTTCAGATGAGAATCTGAATTCCCTTACTAGCAGTAAAACACTGAAGAGTTTGTAGCTACTCTCACTGCTACTAAGGCTAATATTTCATAGTAGAGATATGAGTGATATTCGATATTAAAGAATATGCAATATTTGCAAAGAAATAGATACTCAGATACAAGAAATTGTAAATCTGAGTATTGTTTCAGGCTGCACTAGTTATCTATCTCTCAGTACCTAGGTGCTGATCTAATTCTAAATAACTGATAATTTAGGTGTCTTGGTACAGTGAATAACAAAGAAGTTGTAACAGAGAAATGGATCACCAACTTAGGGTTCAACTTAGGACTTGGTGGAAGGTTATCTTCAGACCTGAAAATTCTATAGTGTTAAGACTTTTTTTTTTTTTTTTTTTAACTGAAATTGCTAACATATTTTCAAATTAAGTACTATAGACTTCTATGACAAGAATGTGTTCTATATTTCATTTATTACATATGCAAGGCATGAGGTTTTAAAAATAAATTCTGTCCCTTATATCCACGATTGGTGCTTTTTTTTCCAAAGCATGAAGGTAATTGAAAAGGAATATAACAATGAAGTGTTAAAATGAAAATATTTTATTCCCTTAGTTCCTAATACAGTAAAAAAGGTAATGAGCTTTTATTTTTGTTTTCTAAAAAAGAGCATTTACACATTCTTACACATTTCCACTTCAATGAATAAACATTTATTTGCTGTTGTACTTCAATCTTAGAGGAACTATCTCTAAAATAAAAAAATTGTTTGTTGAACAACAATGTTTTGCCAGAAGTTCAGAAAGAGGAAAAGTCTTAAATTATTATTTAAAATGCCCTAAATAATCACAAAATAGCCTTTCGTTGTCCTTTTATTAGAGAAAACAGATGAAATTAGGAGAGCTTTCCAAACTTAACACATTTAAAAATAGACAAAGAAATCTAAATCTATATTTTAAAACATGTTGGCCAAGTATGACCTGGTGTTAGAATAAAATGGAAGTGTGGTGATTGTTCTAACAATCTTTATCTGACTACCCTATAATTAACCACTAAAAAAGTATGTATGATACAGGCCAAGAGATCAAACATCAGCAAGAAGTCTCTCCTCAGCACAAACAGTTTTGCACTACAGAACATTCATCAGTTTAAGTAATGTATATCAATAAGAAGGTACTTACATTAGGTCTTAATCCTGCTGCCAGTTCATAATACTTCTCAGCTTCTTCATTAAGACTGGCTTGTCTATCAAGACAGAAAAAAACCAACATAATTACACCTTTTTTTCCATATACAAAAGCACACTTAAAAAAATTACTGCAACCATTTCCCACTACTTAAGCATATTACCATAACAAATGCATGAAATACGGAAATCTTTTAGATTGCATTTCAGAATATCCATTACAAACATTTTTGTGCCTTATTTTCTTCTTCGCTCTGAAAAGGTATTAGTGCACACTGAAGAGTACTGCAGAAAGCCAAATACTCATCTGAGGCAGAAACACACATGTACCAGTCTTCATCAGATGAATATTTAGCACACTTTTGTAATTAGCCATACTTTAACAGCAAATTATTAAGCAATATGTTATACAATAGTGCAGTTTATTTCTGTGTGCACTGTTATCCAATTATAAGAAAGAAAACAGAGAATACAATGATTTCTTAAAAATCAGTTTCCTTGATTCAGGGAAATAATTTACATAAGAGTTCTCATTTTGGCAACTACTCACACCAAGAGGGGTTTTTTAACTTAGAACACATAACCCATGGGACTGAGCTTCATGGTTCCTGAAGTACTATTAGCCCACCTTTGCTCTTCTTCCTTTCACACAGACAACAACTACATTCTCCTATAACTTAAATTATTACATCTTCATTCCCACTTTTTTTTTTTTTTTTTTTGTCAGAGTGGGCTCTTGTAATCTTTTCCTTCAAACTCATTTCTTCTTCTTTTGTCTCCAGCTTCTTAATTTCCCTTCAAATAATCATTGTGGCCACTGGCCCAATGTCTTCCACATCTTAAGAAAGATGACAAATATTTAGAAATGACCAGTCAGGTAAGATAGGTATCTTCTGCTATTGTTCTATCACAATAATGAAGCCATCATGGTATCGTGGGTGGGAAAAACATACACACACACTCACATACACATATGTAATTGTTGCATGACAAGCTACCTGTCCTAGGACAGGAGTTCTTCAGGGTATTTGTGGGTGTTACATGATTATAGATGCATTTCTATGATACAAGTGAAAAACCAGAAAACGAATACAACACAGACTGCGGTAGGTTTTTCTTCTTTTTTTCCCCCTTTTTCTTCACCTTCCAAGAACACTTCAAAGAGTATCAGTCATAGAGCACTCATACCTGGAGATTTTACCATGTTTGTTACATATGAGGTTTTACATGTTTCAGTGATTACATTGTGTTTTGATTTTACATTCCCATCCACCCAAATTTTAAACATAGTCACACTACACATAACAGGCAATTTCAATCAACGCATCTTGACAGACAGTGATTGGTCCTGGGAGGAAAAAGGGAGGATGGATAAACTCTTTGAAGTTTCTTAATAATTCACATGCAGGCTGAAACCACTTTCTGACTATGCACTGAGTAGAACCCAGTTGATACCTGTGAACTGTTTTAAATTACTTTACACATGCATCATCAACATAGTGGTTGTCATGGTTAGAAACAGTTGAATATCTGAAAATATTCATTCAACATGCTTCTGAATCACTCCTGCTAGGCACAGGAAGCTCTTGAAACTACTGGAAAAAAAAATTCTCATATTTGCAAATTTCAGTACTTGCTACAAGGCACGTAAATTGAAATTTATGACATAGCACTTTCTCCTGTTTCTACTTAGTATGATGCTTTCACTACAGTCCCATTCCTCATTCTAAAGGCAATCATCCTTAGTTCACACGAAAGGATCTTACAGAAGCTGACCTTCAACTGCAACTTAGCACTGTCAATACACCAAGCTCCAGCCAACATAAGACATTTCCAATACATGCTTCACTACATTCCATTACAATGTATCTAGTTTTGCTGAAAGGCTTCAAATAGAGGCTATAAGCACAACAAATACTTTGAAAGTAAAACATGTGACCAGTTACTATATTAGGGATCACCTCCACAACAGCTATATGGCCCTGGAATTAAGCTGTTTGAAGAACAAATTTGTCAAGAAAACAAATTTTACAGACAACTACTATGCAAATTTATGGGGGAAAAAAAAGAAAAAAGTAAAGATCAGTCTATCCCTTGTTCAGAATATTTAAAATTCGGTAATTAGTGGAGTACAAAATAAATTGAAATTTAAGGAATTCTGTTATCATCCTTCATCTAAAGTAGCCGTAACCCAAATTATAAAGAATTTATCTGCAATTCTAAATAAGCAACTTCATGTTTTTTAATCTTGTGGTGCTAGTAATGATGGAAACAGGATTCTGACAGGAGGGAAAGATGATAAGCTTCCTAACTAAAAAATGTAGCATTGAGAATGATTACAATTAAAAAAGAACAGGATTTATTAAAAAAATTCTGAGTTGCTGTTATCTTCCCTGACATTCATGACACCTTGCATCACTCACATCAACATCAATTTCTGCTTCTTAATCCATAACACATTTCTAAAGCATATCACTTCTCTCTTAGGGCAGTTCACTTCCATGCCTTCTGAACTTCTATATTTTCTACCTCAAAGACATGCAGTCCACTAAGAATCTAACCAAACAGATTTTATAGCTGAGGTACCTCAATAGCAGTTGCTTGCCTACACGAAACTGTTATATTTACTAATTTCAGCTTTTCTTTTATGATTCTCCTTAGCATTCATCGGTACCATAGTTTCTAGCTTTCTCACTCCATGCCACTCTGAGTATTTGTTTCTCTTCTTACTAATTTGTATTTTGGTACTGCTTTCTACTTGGAATCACCTCAGCTCTCCTTCATTCAAAGTATTCTGAAAACCATTATGAGTCCTCCAGACTCATAATGGAATTGCAGTTGCTTTGCCCCAGAGTAGTTGCTTTGACCCAATGGACAATCTATTTGCCTAATTTCTATTATGTAAGTAATATATTGAATAAATTGCTAAGCATAGCAATAAAACAAGATGGGCAGCAAAAATGAATCAAATCATAATGCCTGTGGTTTTAAGGAAATACTTGGCAGCATTCAATTTGACTTTGCCATGCTGAACCTTGCTATATCATCCACACCAGCTGAGACTCCAAGAGCATATTAAGAGGACATTACAGTCTTCCACAAAGAAAGCTGTATATTTAAATGAAAAATTAGACCAACTAGACATCCCAAGTGGGCACAAAAGGATTCTAGCTAAGCTAAACTATCAGGGCTTTTTTTCTTGGTAGTGGTGGGTTTTTTTTAGAGTTTTGGTTTAGAGACTATTTTGTTGTTGCCATTTTCAGGTTTTTAATTCTGCTTAAATATTTAAAATAGAGAATGCTGTTCAGAATCCCTCAGCAAAATACTGGTTGAAATCTACAAGTATACAGACCTAACAAGATCAAATAGCCCTTATTTCAAAATCCTATAGAAATATTCAAGGTATAGAGGTAATAGAAGAGGTATAGAAATATAGAGGTATAGAAACCTCTCTTTGAAACACAGGCCACTCGGCTGAAGCTGATTCTACCTGTTTTAATATAATTTTCATTTTCTTTTGTTTACTGTCTTCAATAGTAAAATTACAGCCAAGCAACACATCTTCATTAGAGAAATAACCTAAATAACAGTTTTGTGCTGATTAAGTACGTTTTTTATTTCCTTTCTCATATATTTTCTAAGCATAGATACAATCTGAATGAAATTAAGTATTCTCACACCTGTCAAGCACACAATAGATAATAGTTATCCTAAAAACAAGTATGGAGAATACCTATTACAGTAATATGAGATTAATGATAATGTGCAGGCAGAAGCTCAATGTTACTGAATCTGCCATCTTTAAAAGGAAAAAAAAATTCCATTTAAAGGAAAGGAAAAGGTCTAACATTTTATTAATTTCAGAAAGAGAACATAATTAAATATAAGACTATATAATCGTATAAATATATAATCGTATAAATATATAATATATACAATATATATATAAATATATAATTAAATATAAGAATATATATTGAATCACATATATTGATAATATTAATTCCTCTTGTGTAGCTTCAAGTATCCTCAAGCATTAGCTTGAGGATATTTAGATTTCAAACCATCATACTGTTCCCTGTTGATACTAGCAAAAAATGTGTCACTTCCAGTATTCTCTAGTTACATCCAGATCAGATTCAATCTATTCTTTGAAGTTGCTTTGTATTCTAAAAACTTTAAAGATCAGATGAAAGAAAAGTCTTCACAATGTTCTTCACAAAATAAACCAAGCGTTCTTCTGTGCAAGAAAAATAATGATCTGGCTTGTGAATAACAGAAATTTTAAAAGTACTAAATTATAAGCGCTCAGGAAAGTAGAAAGAGATAGTACTAAATTCTGCAACAGTTTCATTCAAGTTCTTTTTATCAGCAATATTGAATTATTGACAACAGTTGCTGGGCTTTAAAAAAAACAACAAACTCTATACAAGCAAAGACTGTAAAAAGTTTTTCCTCCAAAACAGAAGAGAAAATTGAATTAGATTTAAACACACTAACCTGAGCATATGGGCAGCGTTGAAAACAACATCAAATTCTGTATTATCAAGTTCAGCTGCCTTCTTTGCCATCTCAGCTGCTTCAATCAGACGGGATTCCTCTAGCAGGAACTGACCTGCAATGGAGAACGTGAGGTTGATGTCATAAAAACCAACTGATATATGATGCTTCAGATAATACAGTTGTGAAATACACATTTTTCAAAAATTGGATGTTCCACACTCAGTGTTTGGTCATTTGCTGATTTGCTCTACGTTACAACATGCAAGATCTGTCTCGTTTCCTACATAATCCTTATCTGTTCTGTAAAAAAACTCAGAAAGTATCTAAAATCACATTAATGAATTTTACGATGGCACAATCTTATTCATTAGACCACGTAAAAACCGAAAAGAATGAATAATGTAATATGAACCAAATTTTAACTGAAGTACAGTACTTTGGGAAGAAAACCACATATCATCTAATAAAACTCCATAAAAATGAATTTTCATTGAAGAAGGAGAAAATGCCTTGGAAGACACTCCAGCCACCTTAATTCTGTTCCTTTTAATGATTTTTTTACATTTACTTTATAAAATGTGTTATTTTGGATCAAGGACATTTCAAACCATTTCAAGGGTTTCAGCTATCTAGACTTTGTCTAAATAACATATTTGGAAAATGTATCTTAAAGTATGGTGATGACACATTCCAGCATCCCATGCTTATTTTATCTTACTTTTGTAAAGTAAGATCAGTCAACCAAAAGTCTACAAGGCCATCACTTGCCACAAGTCTCTTCAGGGGCAGCAGCCCATGAACAAATGGTTTCTTCTCACAGTGAGGGATTTTGTTTCTTGCTTGTCTCCTTTCCTCACACATTCCCTGTTCTATTGATACTCGTTTTAAGCATATGCAGAAAATCCACATAACTAGAGCTAGCAAGGTCTATAGAGGCCACAGTGAATCCAATGATGCTTGATACAATGAACACACATGCAGAAGGAATTACCACAACACCAAAAGTGATGAAAGACAGCTTTCATAGATTTTTGCTTTTTCTCTATGGATGCATTTCAACTTGGCAAGAGATTCTTTATTCAGGTAGCTACCTGTCTTAGTTATTCAGATGTACAAAAAGTTTTGGGAAAACAATAAAATAAATGCCTTACTGCATTTGTAGCATAAACCTTGCTTGCTTTAGTTACATCCACACTCAAATAAGTGCCATCCTTTTACGCATAATGATGCTTTGTGTTGTTTCCAGAAACAAATAATTTCCAAAGAGGTTTTCTTACATGGATCAACAGCAGTGACAAAGATGAAGAGGAGGAAGGGGAGAAACACACACACACAAAACAACATACAAAAACAGTTTGAATCATAAAAAGTAATTGAACTTCAGAATTAGAAACCATCACTTAAACCATTAATTAGAGCCTCTTACAAAGGAGAAAATGTCAGTTTTCCTGCCTCGTAACAAGAATACAAACAAATACCAAAAGTTTTCTCTTATTTCCTCTTCTTTTTTTCTGTACCATTTTAGGGTTTACTTTATGTGTAATTAGACAAACACTAATATGAATTTGAAAATTCCCACGCAAGTAAGTGTTCTAATTACAATAGGCAGTTCTTAATCTGGGTTGATTTTCTAAATTCCTTACAGAGAAATCTTTGAAATAAGCTTGAACAGCTGACATTCCGATTCTTTCAACAAATGAATTGGATGAGTAATACTAATCTTGGGTCTATGCCAAAGCAAACTAGCCTTAAACTGTTAACATTAAGTTTGTTGGTGGTTTTTTTTTTTTAATGGAAAGCATGGAGTTAGGAGAACAAGATTATAATAACTGGATGGGCTATTTATACATCCAGCAAGAAGGTGAGAAAAAGAATCTTTCAGACTTCAAGATATAGTCAGCCTTAGAAGATCATTCTGAAAAAAAATCTTCATACTTAGGAAAAATATTGTGCAGCTTAAAACCCACAAATAAAGTCAAGTGATCATCAGGGCAATTAATTCCACACGGGTAGAAAAAAACTTCATTGTTCTCGACAAAAAATTACTCAAGTCCATCTTTAGAACCACGCTTCTCGTTGTCTGTATGAAACATTTCAACACTGGACCTCAACCAAGATGTTATCTCATATATATTTATAACTACCCTACACGTAGTAGAATGTAGATGATATGCTCAATTTAATGTGATCTAATAAATGATTTTCTTGAATCAAGATTTACTTTATTAAGACAGTAAAATTATTTCACTTCATCCATATAATTTCTAAATTACATTTTTTTAAACCATTTCAAACTAATACTAATGGTTTGTTGGCAGTCCTAAGCGAAACACACTTGGTTAATTTTTAGCTCTTTAAGAGATCTATAAGATCAACATATCACTGAAAATATTATGAAATTCCTACATACTTTGGGATTTCTACAAGAAGGCTGATTTAGAGAAAGTCATTATTTACATTTAGCAAGTGCATTTCTAGTTAAAACCTTATTTATCTTAATAGCCTTTTCTAGGACTTTGGATGCATACATTCCATTAATCTACATGGACATACGAGAAATGTCAGCAACAGCTATAAACGAATGTTTTCAATTGTTAAAAGTAAAATTTGCCCTGTTTGCTATTAGACCTCTTAAGCATGCCTCTATAATAGGATTACATTACACAGCACATTAAAAGTTTACCTTTACTACAGGTTTACCAAAGCGAACTAGAACAAATTGCAATTTATCCATGACCCCAGCTAAGTACAAGCAAAACGCTCCGGGACCACACATTCCCATAAACAAGTCTCTTTCCATATCGCAGGATTAATAACATTGCCAGTAACTCATGTTAAGTGGTAAAGAGCAGATGACACATGGCACCCAGTAGAACCAACTATAGCACCTCTTACATCTGAACTCTTACAGAATCCTGACAGCAAAGAAAAGGAGAAGACCCCCTGAAAGGACCCATCCCTATCATTTCCTGAGTAGAGGTGACTTAATCAGAGGTTGCTGATTAAACAATTTCTTCTGTCACCTTTTCAATCTAATGAAAAATCAATACCTGAGTGCATAACAGATGTGTGGTGGGCTGCTACCCCTTACTGCCAAGCACTCCCCCACTCAATCCCACCTCTCAGCAGTATGAGGTGAAAAAAATATAGGAAGAAAAAAGGAAGAAAGCTTAGGGTTCAACACAGACAGTTTAATATGTGAAAAAAGAGGGGAGGGAGGGAATTGCAAAGTAAAGGAAACTGCTCACCACTTCTCACTTGCAGACTAATGTCCAGCCACTCATTGAACAAAGGATACCTTAGAAGCCAAAAAATTTTTTTCTGCAACTATCCCAGTTCTTATCGCAGAGCATCATACTATATGTCACAGAATATCCCTTTGGCCAGTTTGGTCATTCATCCGAGCTGGTCCTTACTTCTCCCAGTCAGAGTAGGAGGAGCCAAAACACCAGTGTATTTATCAATGCTGCTTTAGTCACAGATTCAAAACCCAGCATCATCCAGTTATAACTTAGGAAAAAAGGTTAACTTCATCCCAGCCAGACATGGTATTAGGTGGAAACTTACAGCTGACAATTGAAATTTGACAGGTTCTCCTGAAATGCAAACCAAATTCATTCACACATTTAAATTTGATTTACAGCATATAAGTAGTGGTAACCCATTTTGAAAACATTAGTTTCTTATAAAATGATATACAAAGATCATTCAAAAATAAACTAGATTGGCAGGTTAGTGTTGTGCTTTCCTCATTAAAAAAAAACTGACCTCTGAACTTTTCCTGTCAAAGCTATAAAGATGTGTTTTCTTAAGACAAGAGCACTACCAGGGCAAAGTATTGGCTAGATCCTGAAAGTGAATCAGTAAGTCTCATCCACAAGCCTCTAGATTGAGGAACAACTTGTGTGGGTCTAAATTTATGTGTAGGATTTTCTCCTTTGAGAGGTAGCTGGCAAACTGCATGATTTGTGAGATACTGCCCAGTATCACGTACAGAGCGTTCTTAGTGCAGGTGTCATGAATCTGACTCTTGCCAACAACATAAATTATGGCAGCCTGTTTTTTGGAATTAGAACCAGGTTTTTTTAGAAAACAGTTTTCTAGAAGCTTTTGATCCAAGATTTTCTTCCTTCAAGAAATTAATAGTTCTCATTAACTAGAATAAGTGAAATCCATAGTCCAGGTGTGATCTTCAACAATACTGTTCTCTGTCTGGAGCAACATTACTATTTTAAATATAATTTTTCATCTTTCTTACTAGATAGCACAGAGATGAGTGTAAATGCATAGCCAAGATTTCTCAAAGACCTCTGGGAGAAGATGATTCAATGCTTTGTTATCTTCTCAGACGTTATTTTTTTCTAAGCCCTAAAATATCCAAGCCTCAGAAACAGCATAAATACTGAAGGATCCTACACCTGCAGCACTGTTCAAACTTTTTCTTTCAAATGATCAACAGCGATTTGAGTCCACATTTGACTGGGAAAAAAAATGAGGCAATATACATGTATCTGAAAAATAACATAAAAAGGTATTTCAATTCAATTTCAGTTTTCTTTTTACGGATTGTTTCCACTTCCTAGTTGGAAAATAACAACAACAACCACCACCCTAACTTTCACCTTCTGCCAAAATTTTTAACAAATATTCATCCAAAGAGATGAAAGCGGACAGCTCTACTCTGTGTAACAACCTCTCTAAAATGATCATGAACATTTGTAAAGCATTTTGTAAGACATGTGCCAAGAACCGTTTAGAAGCCATACATCTAAATGACTAGCTCTGTTACTTTGTTGTGATATAGAAGATATTAATTGGTTGGGATATGCTTATGCATAAATATCTTTCACGTTAAGAGCACAAGGACATTAGTGCCTTTCTCTAGAACCTCTCTCCTATCAACTTCTGCCCTACAGGCATTACGAGCTTTTATTTCACTAGATAAAACTGAATGTTGCATCGATCTTTCTTTGGTTCAAATTTTCTATTTTTTTATTCATTGGCAAGCAGTCAAAGGTACTTTGTACCAAAACAAGGAGAATTTCTAAAAGAGTGCACCTTGCTAACACTGCTTTTAAAACAAATCACTCTGAATGATCTCTGAATTCTATT